GGGGGGGGGGGGAAGGGAATTTTGAATTAAGTGTTAAAAAGGAATTAAAGGCATTTTAAAACTACTTATTACCCATAGATGCTGGAGGTAGGAGAGGATTTCTTGGATCTCCCATTCCTCCCCGTTGACTCTGGAAGTGTCTGGCAAGTGTTGCCTCCTGTTCCCTCCGTAGTTCTTGATCCTGACGTCTCAGGTTTGCCTCCTGATGACTCCTGATGGACTCCTCCTGTCTTCGGAGGGATTCTTGCTCCCTCCAAGCTTTCTCTCTTTTATCGACAATAAGGGAGTGTGGAGTACTACGTCCTGCCACGGTTCCAACTATTTTTATATCGGGCTCAGCGCTGTGACTAGCACTCGGTCTTGAACCAGATCTGAACAAATGAACAAATTTAATCAGATAAACGATCAAACAGACGGTTTGGTAAACCCAGCTCTGTAAAATGTTTGCTGAAAACTTCAATCCGAAAGCTAAAGATTTAAATTAGTTTCAGTGACAGCTGAGTCTAACACGAATCAACGAGTGAAAAGTTTATCTGATAGCGAGAAAATGAGTTTCACTAAAAAGATAATACCACATGGTTAAAAAAAAGTTGTCTGCATTAACCAGCCCTTCAAGAAAAGAAATTATTAGCAATTAACAAGAAAAAATATAGTAAATAAATTGTGCGAAACTGAGAAAATCGTTAATAAAAAATCCAATAATCGAAAGAAACAATTACAAATAAATTTTATAGGTCATGTAAATAACAAGTGTGTAAACTGTTCAGCTGTGTAAATTAAATTTCTAATTTTATTTCTACATTATACAAGACTGTAAATAAATGTTCTAATATTTAAATAATTGTAGTTTTCTGAAGAAAAGACGATTCTTAATATAACTAAATAAAACTAAACACGTGTGTTTTAACATCATTAACCACTAACCAGCAGTCAGCACAGAGCTCAGAAAAACATATATTAACAGACACATTTTCACAATTCAGTGATAAAAGGACGGTTAAAGCACACTAGACAAAGACCCCTGGTATAAAATTAATTATTTATACCTGTCATCACTGATTGCTGAGGATCTTGAACCGGATCTCTCGTCCCCGGACGATCTTGCTCCGTCAGAGCGCAGAGTGCTCACACCACTATCCGATCTGCTGTCGTCTTCCATCCTAGGAAACATTAATATTGTATTAATTTAATAGCTTCAAATAATTTCAGGTCCATTAAGTCCAGCCGTTTGGCCAGCTATGCATGACATATATTTATAAATATATATATGAGCGAAGAGTTTAATTCTATGGATAGACAATGTTCCCAGAAAAAGATTACTCGCATCAAAGTTTAATTTTCTTTTTCAATATCTTGGCAACCTGATATCCCCATTTGTAATTTAAAACTTTAAATTCTGCTCAATTAAATTTACAAGCTGAAGTTCGACATATCAAAGAATATAAGATTGTGTTCATTTTCTGCTAGTTTTTCAAATTAGTATTAGCGATTTTTGACTTTTTTAAAAGGATAAAAATAAAGACGCCTTTTAAAAAAAAATTTAGCTAGGAATTTAGTATTCAATACAACTGGCCTTTTCGAGGATTTAAAAAGTAAAAACAGGTTCTTAAATTTTCCGTATCGAGTTTTTTTTACAGTGATTATCAATAACGCTTGTTTGTTTTAATATTTAAACCTTAACCAAAGAAGTAAAAAAGAGAATGTATACATTTATACATTTCATATTATATATTTGTAGCTAAAATATTGGGCTTTAAAACCAGAATTACATGTAAGCCTGAACAAGTCACCAAAACAAAAAATAAATAATGTTCTTACAATTCTGAAATGATTATCTGTCGAAAACATAATGAAAATTAGAATCGGAGAAAAAAAATTACGACATTCATTAAAATTGATGATTTAAATTTTAATCATAAAAATGTGAAAAATATTTCTTGTTAATTTAAATATGGTATGAAATACCCACTAATTGTATTATATGTATGGTTAATTGTAAATGGTGACATAATGCATATCTAGATAACAAAATTCTATCCTCGTCTCGTTTCGATCTTTTAAAGTTTAAGGAAATAATTATTCACCTCAAACATTCCTTATCCTTATATCTTTGAGACCTGATGTTGTCGACCCTTGATAATTAGATAGATAGTCAAAGTTTGAAGGTTGCAAAGATATAGGGTTTATAAATTAAGGTTTGAGGCGAGCCCTAAATAAAATTAAAATAGCATTCATTTTTCTCACCTTTGCTTTTTAGCAAGGCTATCTTCATTGCGTGAAGGGGGTGCAGGTTGAACAAGAGGGGGAGCGGGGGGCAACACGTGATCCCCTGACAAGGTTTCAGGGGTGCCTGATATAGTGGGGTTAGTAAGCTCAGTCAGGATTATATTATCAGGGGCACTGGAGTTTACAGAACCAACTACTGCAGCTTCCACTGGTCGGCACTCCGGCACTTCCAGCGGATCAAGTTTTTCACTTTTAACAGTGGTTGAGCAATCGGGGTCTGCGTCAGTTTCCCTTGATTTACTAAATTGTCCGAAATTTTTGCTATTATATTTTTCTAACCGAACCCGAACTGGTTTCAGTTCAGTTCCAAATTTCAGTTTGCGAGACACAGAATTTTTACCGTGTTTAAGTTTTTTAACTAGCCCAGAATTGGATTCACTAGAAATGGCAGCTTTTCTATTTTCTCCCTCTTCGTCGGATTTAAAATCGTAAAGAGCTGTGTTCTTTTTTACCCCACTGCTGAACGGCTTAACTATTGCAACAGCTTTGCCTTTAAATGACTTTTTCAAAACTTTTGAGACTCGTGATGAGGCAGTGGAGGCTGAGGATTGGTTGGACTTGGTATCAGAATCTGATTCAGAACTAATCTCCTTGGTCTGGTCACTAGTTAGGTCGGACTGAGAAGAGGTTAGGTCTGGTGATAGACTATCTACATCTGACGAATCGAATTCTAAATTTTGGAGAGAATTTTCACCGGGAACTTTGCTAACAGGTGTTTTTCTGAAAACAATTGTACTTAATTAATGTTTTCTTGGTTAATTACATTAATAACACAAATTTCGAAAAAAAATATTTTTTAAGAACCTTTTTATTTATCATTAGTATCCCCCCATTCAATTTTAAATGAAAGCTCCGTAAGAAAAAAATTTAATAAAATAAATGCCTAACAATGTTTTCTTTTTACTTTTTTTGCTATTCATTGACGGTCAGAATAAAACTAAACGATAAAAGATAATTAAAAATCCTACCTAGAGATTTTCTTCCATTTTCCTTCTGCTCCTTTCAGTCTTTTTCTTTTACCCCGCTTATCTGAAACAAATTAATTTGTAGTGAAAAATAATTCGATGAAATTAGAGGGTATAAAAATACAGCTGTTAATTTGAGAACAAGTACACCGTATATTGTAATAAAAATACAGCTGTTAAAAAAAATAAATAAAAAAGTTTGCGAAACTTTCAAAAGTAAAAGTTTTGTGACTTTCTGTCTACATTTACCAAACTTTCTATTGATATCAATATCAAGCTCAATGAAGAAATTCGTATAAAATATTAATCGAAATAGTGCCAATGTGATTTTATTTATCATTCATTAATTCATGACTATTTATTTTTGTATTATATTAAAACTTCTAAATAACATTAAAAACAAAATAATTTTGATTTGAATAGCTTTCTAAGGTTTCAGATTGAATGGAAAGTAGTATTTAATGATATTTACTACGAATATTATCATTTCATAAATTCTTATTAAATTCTTAATTTTTATATTTTCTATTGTTAGAATTAGAGATTAACATAGTTTAGACCCTTAGAAGTATATTTCGTTTCAAATATAATTCTAGGAAATAATTTAAGACATTAAATATAAAATATGACGATAGTTCCCTAAAAATGTTATACCACGGTTTTTACAGGAAAATTTGAATAAATTCACAGTGAAACTGGAGTTCAAAATGATTTAAAATACATAAATAAATATATAAATTGAAATGTCATAAGTCCCCCCCTTTTGATCGTGGGCCTTCTGCATTCAGGGCATATAGGTCGCTTCATGAGGACTTAACCACGTATTCAAACTGAGTTACACGTAATTCTTATTTTTATAATGATTTTTTTCTACATTTTTTATTGTGAGCAAAACTTTTTTGGAACTTCCTTAAAAATCTTATCAAAACTTTAAACAAAGTACAATTTCATTTAATCACCCCCCCCCCCTCAAAGTTAGCTCTGAGTCATCTTAGGAAGGAAGGGGGGAGGAAGGGGGCGAAAAGGGGGCCAAATGGGAGGAGGGGTGCCATACTGAATTTTTTCGCAGAAGCGGACCAAGGATTTTTTTAATTGCGTTAATAACTATCTTGGCCTTTTCCATTACCCCCCTCCGCCGCAATCACAAAATCACGTCATAGAATTAAGATTCCCTTTACCTTCAATCACATTTAAAGCAATTTAATTAGAAAAAAATGGAAGAGAATAAATTAATTAAACGTATAAATATCATAACATTTCGTTAAAAAGTTTAAAAATAGACAGATTATGCACAACCAATACTGCAATAATTACTTTTATACCTGGGTTTTATAAATTAATTATTTAATGATAATTGAGCCGCGGAGTAAAAAGTTTAAACCTCGCTTTATCTCGTCATTTTTAAACATTTCACAGTTTTTATTTCACTGCAATGAAGGCCAAATATTGATGGAAACCTTACATTTTTAATAAATGAAAAATATTCACTTTTTCCGCGATTATTTCTCAAAAATATAACTCGGTTCCACCCTGTGTCTTTCTTGCTATGATCAGAAATGAACTGTGGTGGCTTAGAGCTGGGTATCCCCGGCCCTGTACAGGCTTTGTACCGTCACGTCTGGCCAATTTACTCTTCTAACGGGGCTCGGTGCCTTGCTCTGAAATCCGTCAAGCGACCGACTCCCCTTTTCAGCAGGCGAGACACCAGCGAGGGACTCCAAGAATTGCCAGCGACCGACTGTAGAGCGGGGATATATCTTCAAATAGATACCAATATAAGATGGATTCTGCTGATTCAAGGTAGTGAGGAAGGGACAACAAAAATTACATCTTATGATAACAAATTGACAGAACTCTGAACTAACCACGCGGCCACGACTTCAGGGGGGGTCGGGTGGGGGAGGAATTTTCTTTAAATATAAGATAATTAATATTTTCGAGGATTTTATATATAATTATTGAATATAACTAACTTTTTTCAGTAATAATTCTGTATTAAATATCCTCTAAATAATTGATTTTGTTGAATTTTCCTGAACATATTTGGTTTACCTTCTTTGATTTAAGATAATAATTAATTTATCAATATTTGATTTTTCAAGAATTAATAATAAATATTTGTATTTATATTTATCTTTATAACAACTGGGATCTTGAAATGGTGCTATGGAAACGCCTCAATGCCTCAGACTTATATATGAGTTTGCTGAATAGTACAAAGTTAACAAACAAAACAAAAACCTAGCAATCTTAATTCAGCAGTTTTAATTAAATAAATAAACGCTTATATAGACTTAAAAATTGCCAAGTTTATAAATTAATCAAGTTTCAATTTTTCTGAAAGTTATTAAATTCTTTTTTAATTAAAAAATACTTGAAAAAGATTTTTATTCTAATTTCAAAAAAATTTTAATTTGTTTCTTTTTGAAAATGAAAGTTGTCAGAATAAGCTTTAAGATAGACTGTAAGAGTAATTCCAAGTGACCCTCCATGCAAAGATAGCAAGGACCGATGCACAACGGTACCCTTGAAACCTTTCTCTGATCAATAATGTGGAAGATATTATCGATTTTATAGGTTCAATAGTGGTTAATTCCTAAATGCTTTCCTGTAGTAGAAATGCACAAGTCACTTTTGAAGAGAATCCACATTTGATAGAAAAAAAACTTTAAATGGAGATTGGAGGGTCACTGGAAATTACGCTTACAGTCACTCTAACATTTATTCTGTTATTTTGTTGAACCGTTAATTTCTAGGTTAAACTCGGTATCATTATTCTAAAATTCTTCAGAACAAAATTTCAAGTGAAAATAATATTTATAAATATGCTGAAGATAAGATCAATTTCAAATTGAAGTGAAAATATTTTCAAATTCAAACTCGGCCAAAACAGTTAACATTTAAATTTTATATTTTGTCTTGCATAAAAGATTTTTAGAACGTTAAACTTAATTTTTAAATTTAATCAGTAAAAAAGAAATTAACGAAATCGTTTTTTTTAAATCTAACTTTTTTAAACGCCCCACCATCAAACAATTTATACAGAGACAAAACATTTGTTTAAAAATTACTTTCTGTAATAATTAAAAATTCAATTTAACATCAAAAACACTTGTTTAAGTATAATTTTATAACTTTAATACATATGTATTTATATTATATTGAAATTAATCGTAAAAGTTTTATTACAATTAAAGAAATCGGATTATTTCATAAATTTTTAACATTAATTCAAATTGTATGGCATTTTCTTTTTGCATACATTGTTAAAATGCATGCAACTAGAAAAAGCTATCAACAGTTAATACTATTGCGGTTTTTTCGGCAAATTTTCAAACTGAAATACAACTTCAATTGGTACGTCAAGACCCCGTTTTAAGCTTAACAAGAAAATCCAGGTAACAGCGCTTTATTTTTGAAAAAAATTTCAACTGTACCTCCTATTTTCAGGAGAGGAAGCCAATTTTCGAGTTGTTTTTCAATTTTGTTTTTCTAATGATAATAGCTCATTCATACAAATATTTTTTTGCAATAATATTTTTAGAGAATAACAAAAATACATAAATATATAGTCCGTAAAATAGTTAGATAGGTGGAATAGAAAGAACGATTGATGATTTGATAGATATATGTAATATCTCTTGTATACTAATTAGAAATAAAATTAGACGGATAATATTTATATGTACAGGGTGAGTCAAAAAAAATGTGATTAGAGGCACCAGATGCAAAATTGCCCTTTTTTGTGCAACCTCCTGTATGCATAAATTTTAAGAATTTGACAGAAATAATATATAAAAACATTATTGCTTTTCTAAACTGTTGATTTTAAGAGAAATGAAAGTTTCGCGGATTTTTTTGGCCCATATTCCAAAAAATATTGAAAAAATACCATACAGGAGAGTTGCACAAAAAATGTACAATTTCGCACCAGACGCCGCTAACCACCCTTTATTTTGACCCACCCTGTATACATATATTAATATAGACATAAAACCGTTGAATAGATATAAGTATACTTAGGCAGATAGATGTATAAATTATGTTATAAAACAGCTAGATAAAAAAATATAATTATCCCCCTTCTCTCAACATATACACAGTCCGTGGACATTATAGGAAAACTTTCGTGTTATACTCTCATATACTTTGTGAATTGGAGGTTTCCAGGGGGTTGGAAAAATTAATTTTATATTTCTGAATTTTCCTCAGAAATTGTGGATTTTTCAAATTATTTAAATGAAATCATAGTTTTTAGACACATTTTGTTAAATAATGCAACGTGTGCGTATACCAGGGACCTGAGATTAATTCAATTAGAAATGAAAAAGATATTTTTCCAACATCCCTTCCCTCCTCTCCTCAACTATACAGCTATCAGTAAAAAGTAGTGCATCCCTATAGACAGGCGGGTTATGGCACAAGCGACCGACTTCGGAATTGCAAAGATTACCGAGCCCCCAAATACTGACTGTGCAAGACACAAGCGACTGACGCCGCACTTGTTGCGAGGAATGAAGTGGGGGGGGGTGACCCGGACCGCCTAGCGACCCCCGGCAGGGCACGCTAGATTTCTCAAGACTTCTTTGTGTCAGGCGCGCCAATTTGTGAAGCGAGGCTTTTATGGGATTAGACCTAGAGGGGGTTATGCAGTATATAATTTAGAAACCGGACATTGAAACCAAACAGAGAAAGATTTCATCAAACAAACATTGGAAGGAATTTATATAATCAAAAAACTTTTAAAAAATTGTTGTTACACAATTAACTAAACTAATTATTTTTAGCATAATTCTTCTTAAAAAGTATTTGAGTTTAATAAATGTTCTTTTTGATAGAATTTAAAAATTATTTCGATATCAATACAACAATATCTTATTTTTTTACACCACTGATCTCAAAATGTAATCTCAACTTTCAAATAAGCTTTAAAGGGAAAAAAGACCATTTTGTGAGGAAAAATGCATGAAAAAAGAATTTACATGATTTATATTTGTATTATTAATATGGCAGATTTTATCTCAGCCTCAGACTTATATATGAGTTTGCTGAATAGTATAGGTCAGGTTTAATGAATGAATGATGTCAAGTTTAATGAATGAATGAGGTCGGGTTTAATGGATGAATGAGGTCGGGTTTAGTGAGTGAATGAGGTCAAATTTAATGAATGAATGAATTCGGGTTTAATGATTAAATGAGACGAGTTTAACGACATAATGATGTCGGTTTTCATGAATGAATGAATGAATGAATGAATGAATGAGGCGGGTTTAATGAATGAATGAGACGGGTTTAATGAATGCATGAGGTCGGGTTTAATGAATAAATGAGGTCAGGTTTAATGAATTAATGATTCGGGTTTAATAAATGAATGAGACGAGTTTAATGAATGAATGAGGTCAGGTTTAGTGAATGAATGAGGTCAGGTATAATGAATGAATGGGTTGGGTTTAATGAATGAATGAGACGGGTTTAATTAATGAATGAGGTCGGGTTTAATTAATAAATGAGGTCAGGTATAATGAATGAATGAGTCGGGTCTAATAAATGAATAGACGGGTTTAATGAATGAATGAGACGGGTTTAAATATTTGTAAATAAACTACTTCTTGCTAAATTCCTTAAATCTGACCTCTGAAAGATTAATCACACGTACCAATCAAGACATTCGTAATTATACCGATGAAGTTTGGGGGGGGGGGGGGAATGACGCGTTTCTTGGAAAGCATTAATGATACCTTCTCATGAAGGGCAGTATGTAGAGTTAATATTTAATATAATGATAAAAAATTAACATATAAATAATTAAATGATAGGATGTAGAAATACATGAATGAATGTAAAAAGGATAAAAAATTATAAAAAATTATAAATATATGAATAAATGACGCGTGATTGACAAAATTTAACAAATTAAATTTCTACCAGATTTCCGTGATGAAGAAAGTTTTTAATATTAATTAGTTTTTAATATTAATTTAGGATTAAATTATTTACAATATTCTAAACCGAATATTTAGTAAGAGATCTATAGTTTTATAGTTTATACATATACAGTTTTATACGAAATTTTCAAAATTTGTTCTGTTCGGATTTTAAGCAAACGAAATTAAAAGTGATAAAAAAATTCTAAAATATTTTTAAAAAATTATAAGAGACATTGCAAAAAAACCGCAAACATTTCGAGTGGAAATCTGGAGTAAATGTAATCAAATTATAACCTTAGAACTGTAATGACTTCAAAAATCCAAATAATTGTCTTACATTTTTTGTGATATCTTATTTAAACTTTTATAAATTTTTGAGTTTTTTGTCGCATTTTATTTTTTTTGTGCCTAAAATTCGAGCAAAACACAAAATTTGAAAATGGTTCAAAACATCGATAATCCCGGTTTTTTTATTCACCCTG